CACCCACCTCATCCCCTTCTGCAATCAGCACCAGCCACAGCCTAGAATCCAACTTCCGATCCACAGTCCTCTCTAGGGGAATCTTTGACCACTGCTCCCTCACTCCAGAACCTTTGGCAAAGCTGCTGGCCCAGTGTGTTTCCCTTAGGAACTTCTCTGGAGGCAGCAGTCCAAGGTCTAGCTGGCTGGCTCCAAAGCCACATCTGCTTCCCCAGAAATCAGGCAGCTGCTGGGCTATGGAGAGGGCCATGATTTTGGACGCTTGGCTCAGCAGATAACCCCAGCAGACCTGAGGGAAAGTGGGTCACTTTGGCATTAGGCTAGAAATCCTTGCTCAAAGCAAGAACAGTTGTCCTGGAGATGGGCTGTCAAACCCTCTTTCCACATGCTTCTCATGTCCAGGCCCTGGGGTGAGAGTCAGGACCTTGGCTTCTACTCCAGTTCCACAAAGCTTTGTTGTGAGGCCTAGGAGAGTTTCTCCTTCCTCTCCTCCTGGCTTCAGTTTCCTCTTACGTACGTGGAGGATTCTGTGAGTGGGACTAGATGATCCTCAGGTCTTTTCTGGCTCTCCATCCTAGCCTCCCAGCACAGAGGCTCTGGGAAGGGAGGGCCCTGTTCCCTGACTCTACTTCCCCAGCTGTGGGTCTGGGCGCAGGGCTGGGCATGGGGGTGCTGAGTAATGGAGTACTGAGTATATCCCAGTTTCTCTGTGAATAGCTAACCAACTGGAATGTCTCAGGATGGTTGGGAAGGAGGCAAATACTTGTAGGATGGGGGCTCTCCAAGCCCGGAAGAGTCCATTCACTAGCTATGTGGTCCTTAATGGGACCACAAGACTCCAGAGTTTCCCAATTCAAGTTCCACTAGATCCTTGGGTTGGACGATTATCCTATGCTGGGCTTCAGATCCTGGGAGCCAAGTCTATAGATTCTAGGAGCTAGATCGGAGCTCCTAGGGGACAATTTAAGCACCAGGGGACAATTGTGGACATGAAGGATCACCCCCAAACCCCAGGAGGCTGTCTATAATCAAGCCTATCTGGAGGTAGAGGACTGAGTGAAATACAGCTGATGGGCATCTCTGGCTGAGCAATCAGAACCTGTGTCTGCGGTGGACCGGGGATTTAGGTAACCAGGGAAAGACTCCCCTTTCTGCCTCCCCACAGCTCCCCAGAATTCATGCTGATGGAAGAACATAACCTAGAAGGTCAAACATAGAGCTGCATCCATCTATAACCACATTTTGAACATTTACATACACCGTCGGACACATCAAGTGGAGACAGTGAACTGTCATCACTCCTACAGTGGTCATGGTCTGATGGTCCCAATCCCTCCTCCCCACCCTCTCTCATTACTTTGTTTCTTTCATCAATTTATTTGCCTAACATTTATGAGGTCCTACTATGTGTCAGGGAGGGTGTAAGATGGCTAGCTCTCACAGACACACCCCACAGTCAAAATCACACACACACACACACACACACACACACACACACACACACACTGAGTGCTCACTTACACACAGGCTGCTCTCTCTCTTGTACCTTGCTTGGCAGCACCTCAGCCACATCCACATTGCTCAGACAGGCTTGGGAACCACAACAGAAGGGTGAAGTATCACAGCAAAAACCATCTAGTCTACCCCACCCCTGGACCTCATGTTGGAGGTTTAGCTCCTCTTTTCCTTCTGTTTGCCCACATTTAAATTCTCCCCTTCTCCACTCACAAGCAGTTGGGGGACATGTGGGCAGACTCCTGAGAACCAGAAGTCCAGGGGCTTTGGGAGTGTGGAGGGGTCCCAGGGCCTTCAGGTTCCTCTGCCACCAGACTCCTGAGGGTCCCCTCCCCTAGCCACTCTATGTTCAGACGATCATCTGACGAGCAACAATGTCCAGGCCTGGGCTCAGTGACAGATCCGCTCTGTCATCTCCCTCTGCAGAGACACAAGGTTGGGGGGAGGGGAGTCAGTCAGAGCTCAACCTGCCAGGCAGCCCCTTCCCAAACCACAGGACCTGGTTGCTCTTCTACCTGAACCTGGCCCCTTCCCTCCCCCAACCCCAATTCCAGGCTGCACATCTGGATTTGTAAACTGACACTTGAACAAATTCTCTGTTAAAATACAGAGTCACTGTTAAACGAATTGCCTTCCCCTAATTTATCCACTTGGGTATTGGATTTTCTTCAAGCAGGTAGCCTTTGGATCTGAAAACTCAGAGGCTAGCCATGGTGGTGGAGGGTAGTGGGGCTTGGTCTCACCAGTGGCTCCAGCTCCCGCTGGTCCACCAGGCTGAACTCGCGGATGAAGTAGTAGAAGTGCTTGTAGCAGGTGTTGACATGTGCCTCGGCCCCCATGCTGAGGATGCTGTCGAAGTGGTGGATGTAGACGTGGACAAAGACGCGAAAGAGGCGAGTCAGAATCTTGGTGCAGACCTGCTGGAAGTTCTTGGGAAAGGGAACTCCTAGGAGCAAAGGGATGGGCAGAAGTGGGGAGATCAGAATCCTATATGAAACCCTGCCCAGCCCTGCCTGCCCTCCCACATACTGGCAGCCTTTGCCCAGGATGGCCTCTTCCCTAGCACACTTCCCTGTGGGAGACAGAGATCGTGATTTGCTTTTCCCTATACTTCCATTTTTAATGAAGCACAAATCTGACTTTGCCTCTGTTTTGCTGAAATATCATCTTCCACGTTTTCCCATGACTCTGAGCAAGACTCTGCCACCTGGTTGGGGGTCACTGGCCAACCCTTCTTAGAGTATGATGGAAGAAAGTAATGCCCGAGCTCTCCACAGACACATATGCATCTGCAGGTGCTCTCACATGAACACCATTGGACATCATTTCAAGGGGAGTTCATCAACATCTGGGGTCCATTTTAAAAAACATGGGCCTTCATGATTGAGTCCTAACTTCCCAGCATGGTGCCTACTCAAGGCCTTTCATGGTCCTGACCTCCCTCTCCAGTCCCACCCTTACTCCTTCCTTTTTGCAACATTCACAATGTAGTCCCCAGAACCCTAATCCTGAGAGTTACTAAGGCTTCAAGAACTAGTTCAGATATCTCTCATTCCTTCAAATATTCAATAACACACTTCCATCCATGAGCCAGGCCCCGTGCAGGCCCTTTGCACCTTCCGCCTGGTATGATAATGGGTGTGACAGTCATACTAGATGTGATAAAATGGAGGTGCATGAAGGTGGAGGTGCATGAAGGTGGAGCCACTTGCTCAAGGCCAAATAACTATTAATTAGTATAGACTGGAGGCAGGATTCAAACCCTTTCTGCACTGCACTGCAGCCACCCCTCTGAGAGAAATGTCACAGACTGCTCAAGAAGAGCTCCAGGACCTGTGAAAAAGACAGTTTCGAATAGTCCCCCCCGCCCCCCATGCTCAGGGCAGAGATCTTGGTGGCCATGCCCTCTTCTCTGCCATCCCAGGGTTAAGGCAAAGACACCTGGGGTCTCACAGGCCTGGGGGTTAAGGCTAGAAGGGAATAAGAGCCCGGACACAGGCCCACATTGGCCCACCCCGCTCCATAGATCTCTTCTCCTTCCTCACTGCTCTCAGGAAGGGTTGAGCCCTGCCTCGCCATGAGTCCTTCCAGGCCCAGCCGAGGTCTCTCAGGCTTGTTCTGCCCATCTAGACTTGGGGCCCAGGTCCCAAGGGACCTGAGCTGCAGTTCTGAATCCCTCCTGATTCAGTGCACTGTCCCTTTAGTGGCCTCAGTTTCCTCCTGTGTGAAATGAAGATACCCATTGTTGGGCATGATAGTACAGGAAATGACAGGTCACCAGCTGGGGAGGGGCCTCACGCACTGAATTGTGACTCAGTGCTCCGCATTCAGACTTCTCCCCTCTGGGCTTGACCACCCTGCCCCACCCGTCTCTGATTCCCAAAGCCTTAAGAGGGATGAAGGTGAGGCCATATGGGGGTGGGGTTGCTGTGATGAACAGCGTCAAGCCAACACCGCTTCTTGATGCCCTTGGGTGGGGAAGCAGCATCAGATTGACATCACTCATCGCCCCTACCCACCCTCATCCGCCCAGGCTGTCCGGCTGAGATAAGAAAAGGCTCCATGGCTTGGGCCTGACAAGGGAAAATTCTGCCCTCAGAGCCCTTAGAGGTGGAGAAATGGTCAGGCACACCCAATCCCCACCCCCTTCCCTTTCGGGGCCAGAAATCAGAGGGAACTCCCAGGAGGCTGCAAATCATGATCAGCCCCAGCAGGTACCAGCTAGGAGCACTTTGGGGGCACCTCTTCTGGAAGGTTTCTGAGAATCACAGTGGCCTTGGCAGGCTGGTCCCTGGAAGGGCACTCAAGCTTTAGACAAGAAGAGCCCCAAACTGGGAGGCAGGCAGTCTGAGCTCAAGATGTCTGATCTTGACAAGCAGACATTGAACCTCTCTGAGCCTGTATCCTCTTCTACAAAAGTGGGATGCAAATTACACACAGACACACAGACACACAGACACACACACACACTCGGCAGACCAGCTATATCACACTAAATGCCTCGTCTGTGAAGGGGCTCCGGTAGCTCCCTCCTCCTGGCCAGGCAGGCCGGCACTCACCCACGCGGGTGGGAAAGACATCCTCATCGTTGATGAGGCCCTCGATCCAGTCCATGAGCAAGGCCATGTAGCGCGGCGCCGAGAGCTTGGCCGGCCGCCGGTACTGGTGCTCGTCCTGCCAGCGGTACTCGTAGCGGGGCCCTCCGGCCATCACCGGGCAGCTGGTCTCGCTGCAGCGCTCGGCCATGGTGCCGTAGATGAGGTTGATGCGGTTGAAGAAGTCCACCACGTGCACGGCGATCCAGTCGTCAATGTTCTCGCCCGGCGGCAGCCTCACCACGCTGCGCAGGTCCAGGCCAGACTTCAGGGACGCCTGTGCCTTCTTATACAGCTCAAAGCGCTGCGTGCCCGGCTCGAAGCGCTTTCGCGGCCGGAACGTCTTGTCCTTGGCGAACACCTGCTTCAGGCACAGGGCCATAGCCAGGTTGGGCTGAGGGACGGGTGTCCAGGGGAAGGACCTGCAGATGTCCTGCCAGAGCCAAGGGCATGGAAGAGCATGGTGGTCAGGTCCCTACCAAATGTGCTTTGACTTCCCAGCACATCATTCCCTCTCACCGCTCAGCTTTTGCAAAGCCCACCTCAGGGGCCTCTGCCCCGATTATAAATCCTCCTCACCCCCTCGGTCCAATGCTCCTGCCCTATTTCCAGGCTGCTCTGTCTCCCCCTGCCAAGCACCACAGCGTGTTCCCTGTCCACGTTCATTACATCTCACAGAGGGCTGGGCCTCGGTCCCAAACAGGTGCCCCTCAGACTTGCTGTTGACCATCAGAGAGGTGGCAGAGGCTTCCTGCGGGCCCTCCAGGAGGCAGGAGCATGGACAAGATGACCTCTGGGGGCCCCACAGGCCACCTGGTGCAGCGTGGGAGAGCCTGGCTGCATTGTGCTGGGGGTAGGGGGAGGGTCCCCGCCTTCAGCTTCCTCTGGCATATCTTGTAGTCCATCCGGCCACCGGGGATTCCCAGGGAGCCCGAGGGACTTTTCTACCAAAAATGTCCTTTCCTTTTATTACCCTGAAAGAGGAAAGGCCCTCATATAGCCAGCTGGGCGGCCTGTGAATGTGGCAACAGGCGATGGAGAAGGGGGGGAGATAGCAGGTCTAGAAGGGCACTACTTCCTCCAACAGCAGCTGGAGATCCTTCCCCCCTGCAAGCCAGCCTCCTCCAGCCAGAAACCCCAACAGGGCCCTCCCCCTGCACGTGATAGCAGTATACATTCCTTGAGCACCCACTATGTGCTGGGAACTGGGAGGTAGGAATGCATTTGGATCCACCCAGCTGGGCCCATCTAGAAATCAGATGAATATGCTTTGCCTTTTAGAACTGAAGAACCCAAGACTCAGAACAGACTTTGGGGACAGCAATCGGAGTTCTGAGCTTGCAGGCAAAAGTCCTAGGCTCTAGGCACAGCACCACCGTGACTGTAGCAGGCATGGACTTGGCCCATGCAACTTCCTGGGTCATTACGATATAATCCAGGTTTCTGTGACTCTCAAGGTAGACTCTCACCTCCTCTGTGAGTGTGTGAGCTCTTGGGAAATGCAGACCCAGGTACCTACTGAGATGAATTTAGCCACAAACTGAGCACTAACCCTGACCCTAGACTGAGCACTAAGGCTGAGTATAGGCCAAGCACTGAGCTCTGGCTCCAAACTGAACTCTGACCTGGCCTTTACCCTGGTCAATGAGGGTGCTGACTCTAGCCTTAGACTGAGGCTTGACTATAGCTACAAACAAAATCTGGCCTTAACCTCAGAGCTGACATTGGAGCATTTTCCTTTCTCGTGCCTCTAGTAATGCTGGGACAGGATTGGGGAAGGAGGATGGGAACAAGGTGACACTGGATATAACCAAAGGCACAGTAAATATGGGTTAAGGGAGGTGTCATGTCAGGCAACAAGTCAAGCTAGTGGAGAAGTTCGGAATAGGGGTTCCTTGTTGTACCCACAACAGGCAGGCAAAGCGGGGGCAGTCAAATAAAATGAGAAGCACTTGGAGAGTAGGGGTAGGTCTCCCAGAAGGATCTTGTCTTGAAAAAAAACCTCAGAGATATGGCAGGTCATCTCATCCATCCCCTGCCCCTGGCCTTCTCACCCAAAGAAGTCCCCAGTGTGGGACCTTAGCTTCCTGACCCAAGAGCAGGCGACTTCCAATGTTTCACTTGCTACCTGCATTCTAAACTCGGGCATGTGCTTCCAAAATCTCCCACACTGCAATTAGGTGGGGTTCCTGGGCTCTTTACCTTCACCCAGCTCCCTTTACTGACTATTGCCAAAGACCCTCACCCTGGCATTCAACACCTTACCCTACTTTTTCTGCCCCACCTCCCTACCCCACCCACCCTGGGCTTCTTGCTGATCCCTGAACATGCTCCCTACTCCTGTCTCTGAGTTTTCTTACACTAGTCCCTTTGCCTGACTACAGATGGTCAGGTTGAAGGCTACCTCCTCCCACAACTCCCTCTACTAAACCCAGTTCTCTTTCTCCTTGAGTGGAGGCTGCTCTTTGGCCACTGCTGTCTCCACACCAGCAAAAGGAGGTGATCTGTGCCCCCGCCCAGCCGTGCCTAGGTCAGGGCCTGGTACAGAGTCAATGCTCAGGCTTTAAGGAAAGCTTAGAATCAAGAATCTTAGGGTTAAAATAGCCTTGAGAAATCAACTGGCCCAATCCACTTCTTGTACAGATGGGGAGTCTGAGGCCCAGAAAGGGTACTTGAGGAGCTTGTGTTCACATAGCAAGTTATAGGCAGAGGATCTCCAATGGTAGAACTGGGAACTGGGATAAGATGGGGCTCATCCCAAGACAAGGATAAAAGGCCATTTTCCTATACTGGCTGCACTAGCTGGTCGCTGGTCTGGTGGAGATAAGGGGAAAGGAGGGGAGTGGAGGGAGAGGGGAAGCATCTTCCCACCAATTAGACCAACCTAATTCCTACTCCAACACACTGAGTCTCCCCCATTGCCCCCACAGCAACTTGGGTGTCCGGACCAGTGAGCTAGAGTCTCACCTCCTGCTGTAGAATTTCAAGGCCTGGGTCTTTCCCCAGGAAAATGTAAGCTTGCCAGTGGGAGGATGGATAGGTGCCCCTATCCATGCCACTTGTTTCGCTTCACTTCCCACTCCATGCCCGTCCTGAGTTTCTGTCCCTCACAGAACCTTTGTTCCCTCCCTGAACCAAGGCCATTGCCCCTCTTAGCCCAAATTTCCTAACTCTGTGTCCTTTTACTCCTAAAGTGGTCAGTGATGGCTCACACCCTGGGTGGGCATCTGGGCTTCCCAAATGAAGACCGCAGAGTAACGCTCCCTGTTTCTGACACTTAGCCCCCCGCCAGGGCCACACCTACAGTTCCTCAGGCTGGCCCCCGTTTGAACCTAGAATCCAGGCTAGAGCTGCGGGACGCGCGGGCGGGGGG